ATGTGGCATCTCCCTGGAGACTCCTCTCTCCATCCTCCTCTCCCCAGCATTCTTCTTATCTGGTAGACCCACCTATACTTCCTGCCTGGCCACTGGCCAATCAGTGTTTTATTCATCAACCAATAAGAGAAACATATATACAGAAGGACGTCCCCATTCACTGTGCCTCACTAGATGGAGCTAGACAGGTGGTGTTTACACACTGTGCCATGTGGTCACACCTCCTCTGCTCTCATACTAAAAGTAGAGCCAAATACCCCTCCATAAAATGAAATCATCTGGAGCAAGGCAAGGCCCAAAGGCTCTATTTTAGAGTACTTACAGTGGACACAGCCTGATCTCAACAGGCACCAATCTCTGCCTCCTGACCTCCTCACATGGGGGATTAAGACTGACCCATGCATTGTGGTGGGAGGCCACCAAACTACACAGCACATGGTAACAATTCATTATGAACTGTGTTGGAGAAACCAAACAACCACACAACAGGTGGTAAAAGGGGATTTTATTCAAGAACCACTACAGTACCAGGAAAAGTACCACAACATAGAAACAAATCCATCATGGATCACCATCAGTTTATACTTGGAGCAGGTAGCTTCTGTGCACAGAAAATCACTAAAAGCAAATATTTTAAATAAATGTTTTAATATAAAAATTTTATATAAATTTTAAATAAACATCATTTTAAAAAGAAATAGCAAAACTCAAAGCATTTTGAGTCTCTATGAGTGATAAATAAAAGGCAAAGAAACATCCAATAAAGGCTAGTTAGGAGATTGACCTGATCATCAGCTCCTATAACCCCAGCTACTTGGGATACTGAGGTAGGAAGAGCATGAATTCAAGGCCTCTTGGGGTCATACAATGAGTTCAAGGATAACCAGGGAAACTTAGTGAAACTCTTTCTCTCTCTCAAAAAGGTGGCTGTGGAAGTGAAAGAGGGATGGGGACATAATGTACTTGCCAAGCACATGTGAGGTTCTAAGTCCCGTCCCCAGTACCAGTGGGCAGCTGGTTATAGAAGCCTGTTAGTGCAGGTCCCTCTGGAGTCATCTCTAGGCTCAAGGGAGTTTGTTTCCAGGTGTTAATTTTCCTGAGGTTAACTTCTGACAGGAAGGGTGAAAGAACATCATTGTCTTTGTAACCCTCTGTTCTGCTTTAATTCTATGCAGGATTTTGCAAGGTTCTAGGTTTGTCATGGTAAAGTCTGCACAAATGGTCCCTGTGTTGCTTACACAACTGCACCATACAGCTTGAGGCTGGGGAAAAAATCTGCAGATGTTTCCAGGAGTCCTCTCTAAAATAAGCTGTAAAATAGGATAGAAAGTAAACCTTCAAGAAAAATAAAAGCTTAAAATGGCCGATTGTAATTTCTTTTTCTTTTTCTTTTTCCTTTTTTGGTTTTTCAAGACAGGGTTTCTCTGTGGCTTTGGAAGCTGTCCTGAAACTAGCTCTTGTAGACCAGGTTGGTCTTGAATTCACAGAGATCTGCCTGCCTCTGCCTCCTGAGTGCTGGGATTAAAGGCGTGTGCCACCAATGCCTGGCTTGAGTGTAATTTTTTAACTCTAATTTTCTAGTATACATTATTCAAATTATATAATGATTGCAATTATTCCTCCCTAAACGAAATAGCTAACTGGCTTGGATCTGAAGATCAGAAAAGAAACTTGAGGGCAGGAAATGTACAGGGCTGCCTTGGCCTGAACAGAGCCCTGGGTTTGATTGCCAGCCCTGAACCAGGTACTGTGGTGCAGATCTGTAATCTCAGGATCATCTCAGGAATGAAGGCAGGAGGATCGCCTCAGGAGTGGAAGGAGGTAGGAGGATCAGAAGTCCAAGTTCAGCCTTGGCCACTCAGCAAGTTCCAGGCCAGCTTGAACTACATGGGATCCTTGTCTCAATAAGTAAACATATGAATATATTATATAAGGAACTATCCAGGCTATATAGTTCTGACCCTCCAGGAACCCTGGACCGCCTCTG